ACAGAGAGAGAGAGAGAGAGAGAGAGAGAGCGCACTTCTCAGTGGGGCATGGTTATACTTCTATCCCTTTTCCTTCATTTCTCTGGCCTGCTTGGATTTTCAGGTGAGATCCAGCATCCCCTAATCACTAAGCTATAAGGACGGCCCTAAAGTTATCAATTTTATTTAACCATAAGGATACCAAAAGTAAGAGACATTTTATATAAAAGCTTTTGAATTGAGAAGATACGTAGAGACTGATGAGTATGTGCAGCGATGGCTGAGGAAGAGACTTTGCATGAAAAAAAAGGAGCTGGCTCTGAAATGGACAAAAAAAGGCAGGCAGGAGAAATAACACGTGATAGATCCACTTATAGAAAGAAAAAGGAGAAGTATGGAAAGTTCATTCAAAGGCATAGTAAACACATTTAAGAGACTGGGTCTAAGTGAGTGCTGAGGTCGAGAGTCCAGAAAATAGGCATGGGTCATGAGTATAAAAATTAGGGATTAAATATTAAAAATGTTTTCCCTCTTAAAAGCAACTTGACAGTAAAAATAGCATCTTAGCATATAGTTATCTCTCTCAGAAAAATGTTTATAGAAATCATGAGGAAACAATATGCATGCTTAATAATTTGTGTTTTCCACTGTGTACCTACCTATTGGCTAACCTTTCCTATGTGTGCCCTGAAGGAAGCCTTCATTCTCTCCTGGAACTAATATTACGCTAACTGCTGGTTCCCAATAAAGCTGTTTTTACTAAGAAAAAACAGTTTTTAGAAAATTATCCCTTGAGGGGCCAGCAGGTGATGTGGTGATTAAGATGGCTACACTCCCACATGGCTGACTGCTGTTCGAGTCCCAGACCTGGTAGCTGCTTTCTCACTTTCACTCTTTCTGTCTGTCTCTAGTTAACTTTTAAAAAATGATAATGAATACAATTAAATAAAATAATTCTTTAAAAATTAATCACTTGAGGACCAGCAGTTAGCGTAATGGCTATGTCGCTGGATTCCCACGTAGTCAACCGCGGTTCAAGTCCCGGACCCAGTGGCTTAAACTCATGCCAGGCATGTGTGCGTGTGTGCCCAAGATCCCGAGAGGAGAATGGAGGAGAAGGGATTGCGGCATGGCCATCCCCCCTGGGGGGTGATTTCTCACTTTCTATCTCTCTGTCTCTCTCTGTCTGTCTGGCGATCACACATGCCCTATAGCAAAAACCTCTCCAAAAAAAGAAAAAAAGTTATTCCTTGAAAGTTTGAACTATCTTTCTAATGTTATAGGAGGTTTTCATATCCAAAAACAGTAGCTGAGAAAAGTAAACACACATACAGACTCAGTTGGGGGAACACATGAGAGGTGGGGAAGAATTTACAGCTTGAAACACATATCTTGTTTCCTCTAGCTAATGAAGAGAAGAAAGCTGCAGGCTCGAATTAGAGAAGAGAGTGAAGGAGAAACCTGCTTTCTTCCTGATTTTCAAATGTTAAAATTCAAGGGCTGTACCCTCAGGTGGGAGGGTAGTTTATTTTATATATATATATATATATATATATATATATATATATATGCATTTCTATGTGCTAGAAGGTACACATATTTGCTGGAGAGAAACAGAGAGAGACAGAAAGAGAAGGCAACCGAGAAAGCACCCTCCATCAGGGATGGCCATGCTGCAATCCTTCTCCTCCATTTCTCCTTCTTCTTGGAATTTTGGGTATGCATACATATGTGCCCAGGATGTTTTTCAAGTCTCTAGGACTGAGACTCAAACTGCACAGTTGGCCATATGAGATCCAGTCACCTTAAACACCATGCCACTGGCTTGCCCCACAGGGTAGTTTTAAGAGCTTATTTCCTTAGCCTACTATTATAATTCTATTTGTATACATGGGCTCTCTCTGTCTCTCACACACGTACACACACACACACCTCTATAGGAGAACAGAGTTTTCCATGTTTTCTCCAAATCAATTCATTTCTGAAAGAGATATCAAATTATCCTCAAAACAGTTTCATTATTTGAAAACTAACCACAACATCCACAACAAAATAAAAGCCATCTCATGCCCAGCCATACCTTCCCTCAGTCTTGTGTCTACATTTGAGATCTGACTGTGATTAAATGTATTAATTCAAACATTTATTGTGAGCTATGTACCAGGCACTATTCTAGAGACCAGGGATGAAAATATAAATGACTTTGTCCTTGAAGTGGTTTGAAAGATGATATCATATTTACGTACAAATAATTACAATAAGATATAATTTGGTAGATGTCATATGAAGGTAAAAAATAGTTTGGAGAAGACTAGATTACTTCTAGCTAGTAGTGAAAGGTAAGGGGCAGAGACTACCGTATAGTATACAGGTTTATAAAGGGAGCTTTAAAGTCTTTGGACAAGGAAGGACAGTGACGAAGGGGATTCCATGAAGTAAAAGCAGTGCAAACAGACATGGGAAAGATTCGTAAGGGAAATATTAGTATCTGATTTTTATCTAATGGACCTTCTTGGAAGAGAGAAAATATGACAATAAATGCAGAAAGGTAAGTTGGAGTGAGATTAGTAGACAATGACTTAGCCATCAGAAATTTTCAAGCAGAGAAATAATGTGATGAGGTATTTCTTTTAAGCAGATTAATCTGGCAGGCTCGATGGTAAGAAAAATATATGAGAAAAGAGTGAAAATATTTTAAGTATCCATTTCAATATCTTAATTTTGATTAATGGCGGTTAGATTAATGTTAAAGAGGGATAAATGTGGGAACCAGCAGTTAGTGTAATGGCTATGTCGCTGGACTCCCACGTAGTCGACCGCGGTTCGCGTCCCGGACCTGGTGGCTTAAAACTCACACTGGGCGCGTGTGCATGTGTGCCCAAGATCCCGAGAGGAGAATGGGGGAGAAGGGATTGCGGCATGATTATCCCCTCTGGGGGGTGATTTCTTGCTTTCTGTCTCTATGTCTCTCTCTGTCTGGCAAGCGCACGTGCTCTATAGCTAAAAAACCTCTCAAAAATAAAATAAAATAAAATAAAATAAAGGGTTAAATGTGAGAGGTATTAAAGAAATAGAATTGATAGAATTTGATAACTGATTGAATGTGGGGATATAGGGAAGCCAGGAGACAGAACAGGTTTGGGGAGTGAGAACAACGTAGAACAACCAAGCTGAATGCCAATATATGTAACATGCATACTGGAGATTGAAAAGTTATAAAAGAGCTTGAGGAACTACTTGCCTATAGCCACAGTATTTGTTAAGGAAGAATCTGGAGAAAGAGGAGAGGGCGAAAGTTACAACCTGGGAGGAATGCAAAGAAAGAGTGAAGTAAACAAGAGGCAAAGAGAAGTCAGATTAAGAAGAATACAAAAAAGGAAGAGGAAGAGAATGATAAAATGCAGTGTTAGAGAAGTCTAGGCAGTTTCAAGAACATAGATATGATAAACAAGTTCAACATGGATAAGAATTCAGAAAATTCCACTGAAATTAGTTAACAACGAGATAAAAACAATGGCCTTAGTGTAATTTCACTAGGAAAGAAATGAAAGCAAAAGAGAGAGGGGAAGAAAGTCCCTCCCAATGGGGTCTTCACAGTGCTAGCTTCATCCCTAGCTTCAGCCAGTAGTCACCACAGGCATAAATGCATATGCTCAGCGTATCCTGGGAGGCTTCAGGATGCAAACCCAGGACCTTCCCGTGTGAATCTAGCTTCACAGAGTGTTGCTTTACCACTGTACCACCAGCTGGCTCCTGTCACAATAACTTACTGTATTCACCACAATCTGCTCAAAAAGCTTGTAATTCATCTCTTTACCCCTTCCCATGGTCTTTTGGGCAAATAGAAGATGCTCAATAAACATTTATTGAATTAAATTAGATTCTATGGCATTACATTATATTACTCTACCATAGTGATAATAGAGAATGAGAAAGGACAGCAACATACAAAAATGGTTCTTTACAAAATTTTGGAGTAATAAAAATAAGATAGAAAAAGAAGAATCAAGAATAATTTGGAGCCCAGACAGGTAGCATGGTTAGTAGCAAAGTAAACTGCAATGTTGGAAGCCACGTGCCAACCAAAAGTTGGGATCTCTGGACTGGCCTGAAAATATACTGAGTGTGTCCCTGCAGGTCTAGGATCCTGCTGCACTGGAGGGCTGCAGGACAG